GTCGTTATACGGTGCGCTCGCTAAGCGAGGCACCACTGTATATATATTTCAAGCTTTGGTTTAAAGCTTGTGTTTGAATGAGTTACTAGTGGATCAGAGAATGTCAAAGTTGCTATCCTGGGCATAGTTATTAGACAGCAAGGCCCACTGACTTCTGAGTCATCCAGTATAGCAGTGCTCCCCAACCCCTTCCAAACTGTGGACTGGTTGGGTCCGTGGGGGGGACACACTCACGCGCATGTGTGCTTGCAAGCTTTGGTTTAAAGCTTGTGTTTGAATGAGTTACTAGTGGATCAGAGAATGTCAAAGTTGCTATCCTGGGCATAGTTATTAGACAGCAAGGCCCACTGACTTCTGAGTCATCCAGTATAGCAGTGCTCCCCAACCCCTTCCAAACTGTGGACTGGTTGGGTCCGTGGGGGGGACACACTCACGCGCATGTGTGCTTGCAAGGGGCACCTGTGTGTGCAGGTGGGCACACCGTGCATGCGGGTGGGTGTGCAGGGAGGCTGGAAGATGTGGCCTGGTCCTGCCAAGGCCACGGCCTGGTACCAGGAGACGGACCAGGGGTTGGGGACCCCGTGCAGTATAGTATAACGCTGAAGGTGACTCCCCAAGATCTTTTTATGGTTTTTACAAATTGAAGCCATTAAAATCTACTTCATTTACTAGATACTCTTTCACATTACTGAATGGAAGATGATAAATGAATTGGAACAAGCAGTGACCTTTTGGTAGTTATGAAAGAGGTAGCTTTTGTAGCAAGACCCCAAAAAGGTAGTCAAATAAATCTGGAAATATTGGTGAAACCAGGCCACAAATATTAAATAAACCACAGCAGAATAAGCCAGCTCATTAGACTTTTATGTGATGCTACAGAACAGAGAGGGTGCAGGAGAAAACTATTCTGACCTGAAGGACAATGGGATCAATACACGTGAACTTTGTTTCTTCTCGATAGAGATACTCAATGGAACACTTCAGTAGAAGAATTTTGGGATTTTTAATACAGGAGTTCATCTAGAAAGAGAAAAAAATCATGAAAAGTATTCCTTTGCCATAGCATACAAAAGACAGATAAAAAGCTTTCCTTAGAGCCTCGAGGCGCAGTGGTTAAACTGCTGCACTGCAGCCTAAACTGTGCTCACGACCTGGGGTTCAATCCCAGGTAGCCGGCTCATGGTTGACTCAGCCTTCCATCCTTCCGAGGTCGGTAAAATGAGCATCCAGCTTCATGGGGGTTGGGGAGTAATGTGTAGCCTGCATAATTAACTTGTAAACTGCCCAGAGAGTGCTTGAAGCACTATAGGGCGGTATATAAGCAGCACACTTTGCTTTTTGCTTTGCTTTAAAAGGGTCAAGAGGGAGCAATGCAGGTCAAAAGCAAAAATACACACCGCACACAGAAGGTACTGGGTTTACCTCTATGTATGTCTGGGAAAGACCACTGTCTCTGAGAGTTTCTGTCACTCAGAGTAGGTCATGGGTATGCAACACACAACCCTCCAGATGTTGCTGAACCAGACCCCCTGTCAACCCAATCACTGATTCAGCTGGCTGGTGCTTCTGGGAACTGAAATTCAACATCTGGAGGGCCACACATTTCCCACTCCTTCTATGGATAATATGGTGGTAGATGGCCAATCCCCTCTCTGACATGTAGCAGTTTAAAAAAGAAATGAAGATATAAGAAAGTCAGCCATACCTGATACCTTTTTTAATACTTACAGGATGAATTGTTAGTCTTTATAAACCCAGCAACCTACAGATAACTACCTATTCAGGTTGAAACACACAAACCTGCATTCCTTGTACCTGGAGTGCTGGGGCTGGGCTAGAAAGCTCACCTCATAATGTCAAAATGGCAGTGGTTGCCCCAGGGACCTCTATGCACTGACCTTTCAAGAGCTCAGAGAAGTTACTTTTTTTGGATTACAATTTACAGATTCCCAGCCCACCCAATATGGCCATTAGCTGGCTCAAAGACTCACAAAGCTTGAAAAAAAATCTTAAAAAGAAACTTTTTCTAAGCTCTGCTCAACCAAGGGCAAGAGCTTCACTGCAAAGTAGAGAGTGAAGTAGTTGGCACTATTCTTATACTCGCAGGACATGAATTCTAAAAGGCCCTGATACAGAATCAGACTCAACTGTTCCTAGGACTTCTGGTATCAGCTGTTCCAAAGTTGGGGAACCCATCCTTCTCCATTTTTGTGCATATCTGACAACACATTCTAGTAACATTTGTCAAGATGTGTATGCTTGGAATCAAACAGTGGAGACAGAAGACAGCGCCCAGAGGGTGGGGAGGAGGGAGTCACAGAACTTGTTAATTAGGAATCAAATGAACCAGCATACATTGCCCTTCAGTGATCTATGTTGCCACTCGACAGAAACTAAAACAGTTGCATCATACCTTTTTGTGTGCTATGTTTTTGGTGCATACAAAGCCATTCACCACCACTGAGTCAAATTTTTTTCCACCTGGAATCTGGCAAAACAGAAAAAAATATTTAATTATACATGATTCCTGTTGATGTCTAATCAAGTCAAAATTGCATTAGGAAGTAGATTTAAAAGCAAAGGAGCTTAATATTGGATCCCTCCCCCTAATATCAGAAAGCTAACAAGAAGCAGTCAACAAAATACAGCCCCCACGTTTCTTCAATTGGACTCACAGGTACAGTGGGCTCTTGACTTGAGAACTTAATCCGTATTGGAAGGCGGTTCTCAAGTCAAAAAGTTCTCAGGTCAAATCTGCATTTCCCATAGGAATGCATTGAAAACCATTTGATCCGTATCTGCTGTTTTCCGTCCATAGAAACTAATGGGAAGCTGCTATTCTGCCTTCGACCACTAGAGGGGGATATTTTGTTTCTTTTTTTCCTAGGTCAAGAAAGGTTCAGGGAAGGCAGGGAAAAGACAGTCCAGGCAGGACAGTACCAGGCAGTCTGAAGACTGTCTCCCAATCCACTCTCTAAACGCTGGGAGGAGTGAGGAAGCAGACAGGCACCCTTTTTTTTCACTGGCCAACAGTTAACTGAAAGTTCACATTTTGCACTTTCCCTGCCTCCCACATAGGTTTTTTTCAGTTCTTAACTCAAATCTAAGTACTTAAGTCAAGTCAATATTTTCCTATGAGAGCGGTTCTTAAGTCAAAATGTTCTTAACTCAAGCCGTTCTTAAGTCAAGACCCCACTGTATGGCCTTCAAGGGCCACAAATTTACCCAGTCTTCTATTTATATGGTTAATACTTTTTCAGATATTCAGTTTACTAGGCAAACCAAGATACATTGGGCAGAAACAGTTCAAATTACTTCTCTCAGGAGAGCAGCACATTCCAGGGGTGTCCCATTTCCCAGACACTCAAAATGAGATATGTGATTGATTTAAGAACCCCTTTGATTTCTTTCAACCAGCTTCCCAACCACTATCACTAAGCACAGGCACACATTAAAAAAATACTCTCCTGACTAATATCACCATCCTTATTTCTTTTTGGCTAAACTCTACAGCATAGCTACAGAATATTTCTAATTTAAGATAGGTAATTCCCCAGTAAGAACTGGTTAAATCTATAATAGGTTTGGGACTATGGGATGAGAGGGAAGATGGTAATAGGCCATTGTGGTGTTTACCCCGTGGCCCCTGCTTGTTTCACCAAACACAGAGCTCACATGAGTATCCCAACACACCCTTTAACACGCTGCCACCAGTTGATCTCTTGATCAACCTATGTTTCCTATGAAAGACTGAGGTCCATTTGGTACTGAACTTTTAAACAGAAGCAGGTTTATTGATTACAGGTTGTTTTAGGAATAGTTATTAAGCACATTCTTAAAGTTACACAAAGCTTCAGTAGTTTCCTTTAACATTTTGTATCGTAACTAATACAGGTCACACTCTGACTATTCACTCCTTAAAGTCTCTACCTCAAATCCAAACTCTCTCTCTCTTATCTGCCTCTCACCGAACTCACTAGACTCGGACTCACCCCTCCCTTCTAGTTTCTCTGGCTCCGCCTTCCAACAGCTCTCATAGGTACAGTACATGCAAATAATCTTCTACCTGAGCCAAAGCAGGGTGATCGCTACAGCCATCAATATATCTACTTTGGTATGTACAGAATTGAAGGTGCTTATATACATGCCATCTTATCCCTTTCAAATGTCTGGTTTTGACCTATCAAGCCCTATACAACTTGGATCCAAGCTATCTGAAAGGCTGAAATTCCCTTTCAGGAGTTTGTTCAGATTTTAATATATTCAGGGGAAGCCTTTTTCTTGAACCCACCACCATCACAGGTGAGTTTCGTGAGACAGCCTTCTCTGCTGGCAAAGCAGCTACCATGTTTTCTAGACTCACAAAGAGAGTATGGCTTAATAAGATGCTGATAGCATATACCAAGATCCAGGTCTAAGAGCCTGTGTCCTGAGCACACTCCTGTACTGCAGTGAGTCCTGGACTGGCTCCCTAAGGCAGGAGCTTTAAAACGGAACTGTTCATACCCTTTCATTTTAAAATGCATTTTAACTGTTTTTTTAAATAGCCTGTTTTAATATAATACTTTAACTGCTTTTTAATATGTTATTGTATTTTTGACTCTTAATATTGTCTATTTTAATAATGTAAGGAAATTTCCTTCAGGGTTGAAGGAAATCAACCCTGACTGCTCACTGGAAGGACGGATCCTAAAGCTGAGGCTCCAATACTTTGGCCACTCATGAGAAGAGAAGATTCCCTGGAAAAGACCCTGATGTTGGGAAAATGTGAGGGCAAGAGGAGAAGGAGACAACAGAGGATGAGATGGTTGGACAGTGTCATCGAAGCGACCAACATGAATTTGACCCAACTCCAGGAGGCAGTGGAAGACAGGAAGGCCTGGCGTGCTCTGGTCCATGAGGTCACGAAGAGTCGGACACAACTTAACAACTAAACAACAACAATTGTCTGTTTTAATAATGTAAGTCGCACTGAGTTCTCTCAGGGAGAAAGGTGGGGCACAAACAACAAAAAATGAATGAAACGAATGAACGACTCTTTGGGCACCTATTAAATTAAAAAACATCTTTTTGAAAAAATGTAGGTGAGTATGAGAGCAATGTTGCCAAGCTTTCTGGGGCTTCCACATACACAGTGATTTTTTTAAAATTTTATTTACAACTAGATAGTGCAAGAGGGCTTTCTCAAACATATGCCAATTTTTGTATGGGCAACCCCTGACCTCTTGAGACTACCCACCTGTACTATCAAAGTAGATAACCTTTTTTACACAAATACAACGGACATACCACACAGATTCTGCACACCAGCCATCCAGGTGCATAGCCCCATTCCATGTTTGTCAGCCGAACGTAATAACTACCTTGATAAATCCCTACCTTGGTTTGCCTTTACATAGAGAGTGGGACAACAAAAACAACAAAACCTTTTCTCCCCAACAAGAAAGAGTCACAATTTCTTCTTTCATCTCAAACATTTTGCATATTTTCAAAACTGTTCTTTGAACATTTGTATAAAATGTGCATTACTGGGCAGGGGGAGGCAAATCTTTCTTTTTTGCTACCAGCAACTCACTTCATAACACTAGGTTAGCTTTATGATCAATAAGACATTCATTTTTATGTTTGTTTTCTGCACGTGCTTAAACTTTAGAAAAGCTAGACACTAGTTTTGGTCAAAGATATTTTCACAAGTTGTAAAAGCTACAGCAAAATATTATTGCTTGCCATTTTCAGGAGCTGAAACTCCTCTTCAGAGTTGGCAATTCCTTGTTTGGCTGTCTCACTCTAGATATAGCTCGTCTTCCTTGAATCTTGGCAATGGCAAACATCTAGCCCAGGCAAGCAATACCAGGAGGTTAATCTTGATCTTGGTGCACTACTGCCTTCTTGGGGGGCGGGGGGCACATGCACAGTGTTTGACTTGGCGGGTCACAAGTTGTAGAGGGCAAAGCTGTGTTTCAGCACATCAGGTGCTCCTCTCTTTGATGGTCAATCTACCACTCCAAACATTTCTCTCCCATTCCCAATTCTCCACATCATGAGGACTCACTTTTTTGATGTGGACGAACTGCCGGATATCCATGTCATCATCTCTGTTTTTGACATCAGGTCGGACAGTCTGAACCACCTGGCAGACCACAGGCACAATGATATCTCTCCAGGAGAGGGACAATGATTCATTGTACAGCAGCTGCTGCAGGAGTGCCATCATGTGGTTGTGATTAGCCGAGCTGCAGAGAGATGTTTTGAAAACACGGCAAAATGTCAGGAAAGAGGAGAGAGCCACACACATTTTAAAAGTACTGATGACATCTTCCACTTACACACACACACACACACACACACATTCTTCCATAGGGCCTCTGAACAGAGAGACTCACTATAGTCTGCTGAACTCTCTCTGTTCAGAGGCCCTATGGAAGAATGTCTCCCTTCATTATCTTGCATGCAGGCTATTCAGAGGCCCCTATATGGTCATTGCAGGAATACTGTACCAAGATCCTTAACTACATAGGTTAATGTAGCCTTAGCTACATGACATACATCTCACTACAAGACACACAGATCCCTCTGAGCTTTTGTTAGTAAGAATGATTACATGTCATAAATTCTGAAATAGGGCTACCCTTTCCAAAGTTTTCTAGATACTGTACAGACTACTCAGAAGTATTTTACCATTCCTTTTTTCTGGGGTCACTCTGGCAATAAGCGACTTGCCCAAGGCTACACAATAGGACACAGCTGGGATTCAAACCAACAACCCCAGCTCCACATCCAGGTACAAATGTTAAATGGAACTGGGAAGGATCCCGATTTATTCCCAATGTCAGATTTATTCCCTCAAAGAAGTCTGAAGAAGTGGGTTTGCCCATGAAAGCTCACATGAAAATAATAGCAGTAAGTCTTTGAGGTGCCATAACAATTTTGTCTTCTTTATCTTTTTTTTCATTTTTGTTTTGTTTTTGCTGACCATTTATTCCCAGATGTTGTTACAGAAAGTCCAACTGACAGAGCACAGCAGGCTGTCAAAGCATCCAGGCTTCTCAGCACTGTAGGCCTCAACTTACAGCAGCCTCTCCATGGCTTGTTTTTCTCCATTCTCCTCCCTCAGCAGGTCCAGATTGCTGTGGTGCCAGCCCAAGGGTGTGAAAAACAGCTCTTTGGATTTTTCTTCAACCCTCCGATTAAACAGCGATTCTAACGAAGAGAGAATTTGCAACATCATACAGTGTTAATCCACACAGTGTTTTTCTTTTAAGATGAAGGACTGTTTGACACCTGATGTTCTCCATTCAGTTATGAGGAACATTGCTCCTGAGGGGCTTCCATGACCAGAGCTTAGGAAAGTTGCCTGCTTGGACTACAATTCCCAGACTCCTCCAGCTAATATAGCCGGTGTCCATTAGTCATGTTAGGAACTGTAGTCCCAAATGTGACTTTTTAAAGCTCCATTTGCACTGGAAATAATCCCTTACAAGCCAAATCGTATTTCTCCCTACTCTCATTTTCAACCAGGTCATGAGTCATGAAGGACAGCATACTGGCTGAAATCCAGTATTAAGTTGGAATTCAGTAGGCCCACTGAATCAGTGGGGATCTGATGGGTCACCTCTTCCATAGGTTCCATAGATTCAAATGGACCTAGCCTAGTTGTGACTTATTACTGGATTTCAAGCACTATCACCACACAGAGGCTGGGAGCGAAACAAAACTCATCTTCTGGACATTGTTCTACAAGCCCAAGGAAGCTTTGGACTTCAAGTTCAAGTTGAGAGAAAAGAGGGAGAAGCAAACTAATAAATACAACAAATTAATAATGTCATTTATGTTTAGTTGTTTTCGGTATCTACAGCTCTAATTTTTCTTCAATTAAAAAAATATACTGATAATTTTTACATTAATGCATGTAAGGGTAGATTTAGAAAAAAAAATCAAACCATTTCCACAGTGACTTGGTTATCACATACGAGTGTATTCCTCTAACAAGGGACACTCTTATGCACAGAGATCAATAGATAATCTAACTTGACCCAATGTGTTGGGTTCCACCTGGGAAGACAGAGCTTTACATCTGCACAAAGCCAAGAAAGCTGACCAGGTGGCTCTGCCAAGGCACTTTCTTTGTTGTGGTTCAGGTAAGGTACTGAATTCTGTCACAAGTAGGCAATTGTGGCCATCCTGATGGGATTTTCCATCATCCCAGGCCAGCATACTCAATGGTGAAGGATCACAGGAATTCCAGCCCTGGAACATCTGAAGGGGGCACAAATGACCCCTTAACATTCTGGAAATTAGACTGCACAAGTCTCAGGCTTACACATTTCTCACTTCACAACACAGGGGTGGAGATAAAAACTGTCCAGATTAATTCCAAATAGATCAAGGACACCACTGGGGAAACAGAGACTTAGAGGTACTGTGCTTGTTGTCTGAATAAAACTACTGTACCTGATTCAGTTAAAAAGGTTTAAGAGTCTTTCAGTATGTTTGTCTTTTAAAGAACAAATACTTAAAAGCTAAAATCCTATTGGAGTTTTATGCCAGTATAATGTAAGCCTTGTAAATTTTGGAGGTAAATTATCTGAAGTAAAGAAATCACTTCAGACTTTATCTCTTGCATACACGTTATTGTTTCACTCACTCTGCAACATATGATACCTACAGTGATTTTTAACTGAAGACTATTCAACTCCGAAGGTTCATATCCTTTGTGTTATTCTTGCAAGGAGTAACTAGCAGGATTTTGGCGACAAAACGGATTCTGTGATTCACAATTTTTGTAAAAAAAAAAAACCGGGGCCTCTTTTAATAAATTTAAAAAGGCATTTCTCCCATCATTAATGCCTCTCCCATTAATTGCATTTGATGCCTAAAATACTGCAGTTACAATGAATGAGAATACTCTGAGCATGCTCAATATGAATTCAGACAAGCAGCAACACAGCAAGAGACAAGAAGAGGAGTTGCTTACGCATTTTAAGAAGTAACTACCCAGGTGGGGTCTGGGGGTAATCTTTCAGACTAGGTCAGACAGGAGAAGAGGTGAGTGAGCATCACCCTCCCCACATTTGATCTAGCACTGCCACCAGGAAAAAAAGTTGGGCTTGGGCATGGAATGTGGCCCAAGGAACTTTAAGGGGAATGAAGAATGGCACACAATGAACTTTACACTGTAACATAAAACTGAGATGAAAGGAAGACAACAAGTGCCCTGTCATGCATCACACATGTTGCAGTCTAAGCTGCCAACTAAGAAAACAAACAGTACTAACAACCCTGCCTGTACCCAAATGAACATCAATAATGTTTTTTTCCCCCCCAAACTAGCCACACTTCCCCTGAAAGGGCATATACAGTGGTGCCTCGCATAAAGTTTTTAACTTTTTTTTTCCCCCAAACTAGCCACACTTCCCTTGAAAGGGGCTGTATATCCTGTTGAGAGGTCACACCCTGTTGATTCAGAAGCACTGTTTTGAACTGTGAAAGATGAAAGATGACATCTTTCTCATAGGCCTACACAATACTTGTTTATTTGCTTGTCTAAAAACTGACAGGACCAGGAAACAGGTACTGTATTAACTTTACTGTATTGTGCAAGAAGGAGGAGCGTAAACAGAACCCAGATCATCAGTTCAAGCATCAGGCAGGTTTAAACGGACAAGACAGCTTATTCAGCTCAGGATGACAAGCAAACAGAAAACATCCCAGAAGCCATGGAGGTTGCTTTGTTTAAAAGACACAGGAACAGACTCCTAGAGATTCCATTCAGACTTGAATAAGGCCAGGTTTGTTCTAATTTAATTTGTTTAGAACCCTGTTACAGAAGGAGGAGAATGAAAATCTTCACCAAAATTACCCAAGCCTGGTTTTCTCATGGGGAGGAGGGAGAGACCCCTTCCCCCAGTAAACTTACCCTTGATAAAAGCGTCACTTATTGAGATCATTTGTTGCCCTCCGCTGTCAGCAATCAAGTACTCTGAAAGAAGAAACACAGATGTGGGAGGGGACAAAAATGTCAGGTTACATTAGCGTGCCTCTATAATTATATTGTTTACACACCCACACCACAAACAAAAAAGGAGACATGATTCATGCCACTCATTTAGTCACTGCTGTAGACACAACTCCAGGAGGCCAAGAGGATCTTCTCATTCTTCTTTGATCTATCAGATGTGTTGGCATGGCTGCCAGCTAATGTTATACATACAGTACGCGGTTCCCAACCTTGGGTATTCCAGGTGTTCTTGGACTACAACTCCTAGAAGCTTTCGTCATCAGCTGGCTATCCAGGGTTTCTGGGAGTTGCAGTCCAACACCTGGGTTATTCAAGACTGGGCACCCTCGTTTTCCACATTTATGGAACCAGCTTGACTAAACCCAGTACTGTATATTTGCTAATTTACACATAACAATGGCTTAACAGCCTTGCAGTGTGGAGGCCTATGGGCCAAGCAAGAAATCAGACAGGTCAAGCAAGGTGAACAGTCTTTACTGAAGCAGGGTGGATGCAAAATTTGCAGCACTTAATTCTTTTGAGCCCTTGTACTCACGCTCTTCCCCAATTCCGGTTTACAACCAACCAACATCCCACAAGGACGCCATGCTTTGGGAATATGTTGTGCAGCTGATTGGCCTTGCATTCTCATCACTACATAAATTTGTGTTCTGAAGTTTGAAGCAGTCACAATTTGTAACCGAGATATGTGAGAAAGGGTATGGTGTTATGTTCAACTGACTGACTTTCTAATGTAAAGGTTTGACAGCTGACTGCACAACCAAGAGCATCACCCCTGAATTGCAGATCTTACCATTTTTTTCTCCCTGTCACCTCACTTTCCCTCACAATTTCTGAATGTGTGTGTTTTCTTGTCTGTTTTAAAGCTGGCTGGATAGCTCAGTGAGTTAGGTATCTGGCTGAGGAGTCAGAGACCGACAGTTCAAATTACCGCTAGGAGCCAGTCCGGGTGGCCTTGAACAAGCTGCACAGACCCAAGGAGTCAGAGACTGACAGTTCAAATTACCGCTGGGCCTTAGAGAGGAGCCAGTCTGGGTGGCCTTGAACAAGCTGCACAGACCCAGGGCACTCCCAGAAGAAAGGGAATTCTGGTAAACCACTTCTAAGTACCTTCTCTCTAGAAAACCCTGAAAAGGGTTGCCATAAGTCAGAACTGACTTGGCAGCACACAATTATCTTATTACTGCCTGTTTAAATTTATCATTGCCCTGACAACTAAGTTGCCTGAAGAAATTACTAGTTTCCTCGGCTTGCTTTTGAACAATGAAAGAAAGTGACAGCTCACGAGAATATTTAAATACAATCAGCCTCTACACATTGTCCATGCATGCCTTTTCAAAAGGGTCTGGAAGCGAATCAGATTCTTCCCCTAGCTCTTTACACCTGTCTTTCCAAAGAAAGTAAGGAATTTCTCGTCATTCCATTTTTTCAGCAACTCACACCTCAAACACTGACCAGTCTTCCTAAAACATCACCCAAGCCCCATCCGTAGAACCCGGCATCCGCCTCAGTCCTCTCCACCCAGTTTAGCCAGCTTCAGACAGACAGCCACAAACACTGCAATGGGATATTAATTACAATAAAATTAGAAAATCTCTCATAGCTACTGCAAGCTGATCATAATTTCCATGAAATCATTGTATTTTTAACCCCTCACGCAAGAAATCTTCTATAATGGCACTGACACTTCTAAACTGCAAGTGTAAATAGATGTTGCTACTTTCTCCCAGTTTTAAAGCATTAACAGCCAGCAGTATCAATTTAACACTATGCTTATATCCAGCTTCAGAATGTGTTCATCTCGTAAGACAACAGGACCCCACAGATTTTGACCAGATAAAGCATGCACCACTTTTATTTCAGTAACGTTTATGCTGAATAAAATGCACAAGGAGCCATGTTGATCCATTAGGAAAAATAAAATCCTAATCCAGTAAGGCAGTATTTTATTACGTCAACAAACGTAACAGAACTGTAAAAACAATCTTCCATTAAGCCTTTATGTGCAATGCATTAAACAAAATGGGTGTTAGCAGGAAGTTGGGAGAAGTTCTTGCCAAATCCTTACCCTTGCTTTAATTTAGTCATTTTCTCATGATACTACCAGAGATTAGAGTGTCCTTTTCTCTCAGGTTTCCATTGCTACACACATAGGAAACAGGCACATGCTCTAACTAATGGAAAAATTTACATACTTCCCCTGCAAGGAAAAGTATGCAGTCCTATCACATGTTGTAGCAGCGGAATGAATCACTTCCTCTTTTACAATAGCAATATTCCGATGCTGGCTCTGCTATTGCTTTTCCATACCATCTATAACATAGCCAGCCAATTATGTATTCCACAGCACAGTATAAGCAGCACAGGCTCCTGAGGAAACACATGGCTCAAATCCTCTGCTTAAGCCACTACTACTAGCAAGATTAGTTCCGGATATCAAGACATCTGGGTAGCCTTTCCACAAAAAGCCAACTCTAGCCACCTAGAGTGGTCTTACAGGCCAGATGGGTGGGGTATAAATCAAATAAATAAATAAACATGTCTGTTCTGTGTGGAAATAAATTAAGCTGCTCCTCAGCTTTAATCCTCTTGAAGTCCTGCATAGTTTATGTATTCACACATTTTCCCCTACTATTTCAACAGATCATTATCTTATTTATTTGGTTTATTTATTTATTTATTTATTTATTTATTTATTTATTTAGTTATTTATTTATTTATTTATTCTATAGGCTGTCTTTCTCTTGATAAGGGGGCTCAAGGCAGCTCACAATATTAAAAAGAACAGAATTAAGATTTTCCAGATTCTATCTGTCTGTGGATTTTGGATTTTTTAACAAATCGTCCACAAAGGGTTAAACTGAATGACTACATCTCTACTGACAAGATACTCAGCACTGGCACTCCACAAGGTTGTGTCCTCAGTCCACTACTGTTCTCCATTTATTCATCGGATTGCACCAATAACCATCCCAGTAATAGGATTATCAAATTTGCAGACGACACTACACTAGTAG